AATAGTAATGATGATGACAACAACAACAACAACAATAATATAATGACAATGATAATGATAACAATAATGATAATAATAATAATAATAACAATAATGATGATAATAATATTACCAGTAATAATAATTACAACAGTAATAATAATAATAATAATAATATTAATAACAATAACAATAACAATAACAATAATAATAATAATAATAATAATAATAATAATAATAATAATAATATTACCAGTAATAATAATCACAACAGGAATCATCATCATCATCATCATCATCATCATCATCATCATCATCATCATCATCATCATCATCATCATCATCAATCATCAATCATCAATCATCAATCATCAATCATCATCATCATCATCATCATCATCATCATCATCATCATCATCATCATCATCATCATCATCATCATCATCATCATCATCATCATCATCATAATGATAGCTCTGAAAAGAGTAATGATAATAATATCACTATTATCATCAACAACATTATTATCAAGGAATGTATAACGAGGTACGTCCACTTCCTTTTAGGATACTGAACCGAAAAATGAAACTGACTTTTTCCCTGGAGCAGTCTGACAGCTGTTAATAGTAAGGAACTTTTCATTATCTCAAATAAGAGGGGAATTTTGGTTCTACTTCTGATACTTATAACAAGACCGAGTAAATTATACAAATAATTATGTACCTAGCTATATATATCTTATAGTGCATTCTATAGTGATGTCATTAGCTCTGCCCCCTTTCTTGACCCCAACAATGTGTGTCACATTTTAGTACTTTTTTATTTATTTTCTTTGAAAATAGTTATGCAACAACAATGGCAAAAAATTATTGAAAAAGAAACCAAGAAAAAAAATCTCTAAAAAAAATCTATTTGCAATGAATAAAAGTAATGAGGCTCAGAATTTGCCAAGTGGTTATACCTATGTAATGGTACCTTGATCATTATCAATGCTATTATTCTTACTATCATTATGATTGCAATCATTCCTATCTTCGTCATCATCACAGCCATTACCATTATCAAAATAAAATGAAAATCAATAAATGCAGTGCTTATGACTCCTGTTTCACTCTTATTCCATTCACCTTCAATAATCAATAGAAATCATACATTCCAGGACTAATATCAAGCATAAAACTAAAACACACTTCTACAACTTTTAACTAAATACCTTTCCAATTCACACACGATTTACATTTTTTTGAATTTAAAGCATGTTAAAATATTCTGAATTAAAAGCTATATGTAAAATTATTTTGAGTCTTTACCTATAAGTTAATGCAATTACATGTACATTTTATATAAAGAGAACAAGAGAATGAACAAACTATGAATCAAACAAATAAATTCATGGACATAATAATAGCGGCAAGCACTTTAAAATTTTAACAGCGATGTTTCATAATATTGTTATTCCTCTATTACAACAGAGGAATATCAACAAAACTTCTATAGGAATATTAATAAAACAGTCATCATCATGACAACAATAACTATAACAATAATAATAAAAAAATAATAATAATAATAACAAAAATAATAACAAAAATAATAACAATAATAATAACAATAATAATAATAATAATAATAATAATAATAATAACAATAATAATAACAATAATAATAACAATAATAATAACAATAATAATAACAATATAATAATAATAATAATAATAACAATAATAGTAACAATAATAATAATAATAATAATAATAATAATAACAATAATAATAATAATAATAATAATAATAATAATAATAATAATAATAATAATAATAATAATAATAATAATAATAATAATAATAATAATAATAACAATAACAATAACAATAACAATAACAATAACAATAACAATAACAACAATAACAACAATAACAACAATAATAATAAAATAATAATATAATAATAATAATAATAATAATAATAATAATAATAATAATAATAATAATAATAATAATAATAATAATAATAATAATAATAATAATAAGAAGAAGAAGAAGAAGAAGAAGAAGAAGAAGAAGAGGAGGAGGAGAAGAAGAAGGAGAAGAAGAAGAAGAAGAAGCAGCAGAACTAAAAAAAAATAATAATAATAATAATAATAATGATAATAATAATATTATATAATAATATTAAATAATAATAAGAACAACAACAACAGCAACAACAACAAAAACAAGATAAAGAATGAGGAGAAGAAGAATTATGAGGAGAGAAGGAGAAATAGAACAAGAACAAGAATAATCAATAACAATAACAATAACAATAACAATGACAATGATAATGATAATAATAATAATAAATAATAATAATAAATGATAATAATATTAATAACAATAATAACAATAATAATAATAATAAAAATAATACTAACAATAATAATAATAACAATGACAACAATAATATATAAATAAATAACAAAGTAATAATAATAATAACAAGAAAAATATAAATAAAAAATCACTGCAACAGCAATAACATGAACATAAACAAAAAAATAACAAAAATGTCATAATTGCAATATTAACAATAATTTTAATTAAAACACTATCACAATAAATTTTCTCTTAATTATTACTTCTCACCATCATTAAAAAAATACATAATAATAATCACCTTGACATGGAGTTAAATTATACCCATCTTAACGTTCTTAATTTGCCAACATTATACAAAACAAATTGATTTTGAAATTCCCACATGACAACTACAAACAATGCCTGCATTCTAAATGATAACTGAAATAATAATAAGAAGAAAAGTTCCCTCTACATCAATCTAGTTCTTAACTACGTAAACCATGATATTATGAGTAAAATCAGGATATACTGATTTCTAATGCCGAAGAGAGAGAACACCATAAAAGACCTATCAACTTAACTATAAAATTCTAAACAAATATGTTTTATGGAAATTGAGTTGTATTAAAAAATGTATATTTTCTAAATTCTTCACATAAAAACAATATGTATTTATCATTCTATTTTCTAATTTATTTCAGCACAAGAATGTCTTCCGTTTATATCTTTGTTAATCAGGTACCAATGTAAAGAAAACATATATTCATGTATAACATAAAGACCCTATGCTAAATGCATTATATCCCTGAAATAGTCTGTATATATTTGTAGAAGAAATATAGGAAAAATATTCCTATTGCTATATATAATAAATCTATATCACATTCTGAATCTATTGCACCTTTAAAAACCTTACATTTCTTTGGTATTTAATTTACAATACTGATTTCCAGTATCTTTAATCAATACATTTAACCATCTGTCTTTCAAATCTACCTACATAATCGGCTTTGGTAGTCTCAGATATACTGTTCTAAACTGAGGCTATCTGAAGATTATCTCCACCTATAGTTTCTGCCTCTCTTAGTCATATACATAAATGCATTAAACACTTGTTGGCTCTCCATCAAACACAGAGCTACCAACTAAACATGTCAATTTTCCAGTTTCTTGGTCTATCTTTTGACTGAAGCTGGTTTCCTTGACACATAATTGTTTATATATTTATTAGCCTGTCCATCATACATAATGAAATTTTTCTGGCTCCTACATTTCCACATTTGCCTATATCAGTCAGTCTTTGGTATTTCAATCAAGACGACGAATATATCCTACATTCTAACTCATACTGATATCTTTGCTAGTTCCTTTATACATACCACATAATGAAAAAGGCATAAGTTATATGTGGAAGATTAATATCTCTGTCAAAATGACCTGTTACAAAAGAGGTAAAAGCATTCTTTGGGAACAGCACCAATACATAAATGTACAAGTTACTACAAAAGAATAATTGTAGTAGGAAATGCTTCAAAAGATGCAGAGTAAAATACTTTCTTTCATTATAAGATATATCAGCAAACACAACTTTTTGCATCCTCCTTTATCTAAATTTATACATCTTAGCCAACAGGGTTATCAGTCCTGCATGAAATAAACATATTTCAAAACTTTTGAAATGTCACAAAGATAACTTGTATCTTTACAAATAACATATAGAAACTGCATTTTCTCTGCATTTATTATTGATGAATATGATGATATCGCCACCTTTCCTGGATGGGAAAAAAAAAAAAAAAAAAAAAAAAAAAAAACATTCACTTGCACTGAAGACAGGTTCTAAAATTTCCTCTCAGGAAGCACTAAATCTTTCCAAACCACTGAATTTTTTTTTTCCAGTTACCATAAAACAAAAGTGTAGAGGATGAGCAATAATATTTCACTTCATTCATCCATGTTTTCAGGTACTATGATAAGTATCAGGTGCACTTTGAGCTTCAATTATCATTTGCTTGTGGACCGAGTTTCACTCACTGATACTTGAACTAAGAATAATGTACCAAACAGAAGCCATATTTGGTATATAACCAGAACTTTATTCTGGAAGGTATCTGATATTTCTGCAAATCAAAGTATTAAAAAAGATGTCTGTAATAAAATATTCTTTTTATAAAACATTAGACAATGAATATACTACAAACTTGCATATAATAAAAATAGAACACTAAATTAAATATCATATACATAAATGCAATATAGTGACTATTCCTATTTCTGGGTATACTATACCTAATCTCATTACATATAAAACTCTGTATTTGTTGCTACTAGCTTTGGAATCATATCAATACCCTCTAAGGTATGTATGTTAATAAAATATCACAGTTTGGAATAGAACCATGAAGGTCCTGGGTGTTTACACCCAATTTCTTAACTTGACTACTTTGTGGAAGTACCACTTACTCCTATAGGTCTGACTGTCTTCAAACAGGTCTAAATTTAATCTTAATTTCCTTGCTAAAGGGCCTATCTAAAAATTCTGATACAAAAATTAAAAATAATTATGAAAAAGATGAACAAAATATGAAAAGAAGAAAATATATCATTAAATTGATAATGATATCAAATAACAATAATACCAATAACATATTTTTCTCAAAATGAAAATAATAATAATAAAAAAAAATAATGAGACCCTCACAGTAAAACCTGGTATCACAGACAAATTCACTGAGCTCTCCACACTTCAAGACGGGTGAGTGCAGCAGCAGCAGCAATGAGATGTTTGTGTTACCTGCATCCAGGCTGAAAGAGCACATCAACGCCTCAGCTTCACTCTGTTGCTTGCACCTCCTCCTCCACTCTGCCGTCCTTTGGATTTGTCGCGTCTTTTGTGTCTCCCTCCGCCGCTGCCTCCTCCACCACCGCCACCTCCACCTCCACCACTAGCTCCACCACCTCCGCCACTGCTCCCACTGCCCTGGACGCTGCCTGACTTGCCCTCTTCCCAAGATGTCTTTGCTGGGCCTAGACGGAGGTGGACTGACAAGCGCTGAGAGCCTTTCCCTTCATCTCCTGCAGGTGGTATGGCAAAAGGGAATAGGTACTGATGAGGCAAGCAACAGATCCTTAGTCTCAAAACTGGCATACAAAATGTTTGCCTTTCTGACAAGGATGCTTTCTTTTCTGTAGTTTACTAAATTCAAATCCTTAACTCTGGAAGCAAATGCAGTATTTAATGTTTCCTGAGTCCAAAAAACATATATATAACTATGCTGAATAATACTGAAAAATACCAAGTTCAAAAGCAATGATTTGTCAGCAAATACTCACGTTTGTTTACAACATCGCCAGACATGACATGGCGATTTTCACCAGATGCTACTGTCACAAGAAGAGGCTTTCCATCTGCAAGAATTACACACTTTATTGTTTCTCAGAAGTTAACCCATTAACGCTGGTATATTTTGCAGCCGAAAATAAAAGATACCGGGCGGCTACAAAATCAGCGGGCGGAGCTGCGAGCCCCAATACAGCTTCACACTGTAATGCAATGTTTATTTTTTGGGTGTCTCATATGTGGGTCACCCATCGTTAGTGGGTTAACCTAATCACCTTGGGTTTATGTACTGTCCACTGTATTTTTTTTGTGAAATCTGATAGATAGCTCCACATGTGCTCAGCTACTAAGGAGTCAATTAGTAGGTGGAAGTGATCTCACCTGATTTCCCCATTCCTTGACTTTGCAGGAAAAGTTTTTCTTTCTAATGGTATTATTATCAATAGTATTAATATCATAATGTTATCAACTCCTCAGTGATGGGTACAGCTACAGCCTACATGAAGTAACCATGTATAGATGTCATGATTCGCTCTGGTATGCAAGCAGGTGGGCTTGCTGTACACAGCACAAATCCTACCAGAAAGAAAAAATTGTTGCATAGTAATTACATCACAGAAAATTCTGGCCTAGTCATGATAAGGTTAAAATACTAATAACAATAAAGCAAACGGGTCAACATGTGATAGGTAGGACTTATAATTGGCATGGCATGAATTCTTGCTATCACTGTCATGAAAGTCAACAAGATATACAGGAGGATGAATATATGAAAGGCATTCCAACATCTTTTTCATCTAAACCCATTGATGCCACGATAGTAAGAATACACTCCATGTCTACTAGTTCTTCATTTTTATTAACTGTCTTTACACATACATGAATCTGCAAATGTTGAGTCAACAAGGAGTCATTATCAGTTCTACTTTTCACATGCTTACCCTTTTCCTTACTAAGTCCTACCTATCTCACCTGCACTTGTGGAGCCATTTATGCACAAACAAATAAACTAATAATAACAGTAGACAGTGATTACCCAGCAGCAGCTAGGCTGGCTGTACCCAGGACAAATCCTGGCAGAAAGACTAAACTGTTGTGCAATGATTACATCACAGAAAATTCTGGCCTCGTCATGATAGGGTTGACTATCTATTTATTTACCAAAGTACCTAACAATTCATATCTAATATTCCCCTGATTTCACATATACCTTTACATTGCACATTTTACTGATAAAAAGCAAGCTTGATAAAGAAAAAATATACAAATAAATAAGCTAATAACAGTATCAACACTACTGAACAAATATAAAAAAACAAATAAATAAATAAATAAATAAAAAATTGTAAATCTAGCTTCAGAAAAGAGAATTAAAGGTACATTCAACTTGAGAGAATGTTCTTCCTTACCATGCTTCTTCCTGGTACTCTCTGACTGCCTGCTCTTGGTCCTCACCAAAACCCTCGGTCTGTCTTCATGCTTGTCTCTCCTTGCACGTTTCTCATCTTTTTCATCCATGTCCTGTTTGCCACTGCTGCTGTTGCCTCTCCCACTCTCAGTACTCTCTATTTTCCTCTTCAGCATGTGCCGTAGGTCTGAAGAGTCAATGTCTTCCTTTTTCCCTGAATAAGAGAGTAAAACATGTAATTTTATATTCTTTTTTATGTGTATGTGTGTGAATCAAGTATTTCCTAGGGCATATGTATGGATATAAGTAGAAAAGGAGAATACATCAAATCAAAAGAACACTTATCAATAACAATTAACTTTACCTTCTTTTACATTCCTGGTTTTACTTGTATCTTTCTCCTCCTCTTCCTCAGTATCATTATCTGAATGTTTATGCTTCTTCTTCTTTTTCTTACTCTTCTTCTTTTTCTTTCTTTTCCTTTTTTTCTTTTTGCTCGATTTATTTTTCACTGATGCATCATCATCATCATCATCATCGTCATCATCGTCATCCTCTTCCTTTGTCTTCTTCTTTTTCTTTTTCTTCTTCTTGTCGTCATGTTCGTCTTTCTGCTTTTCATCTTTTTTCTCCTTATCAGCATTTTCCAAGGCAGTAGTTTTCACTGACTCTGAGGATTTTAGTAAGATCTTGCGTGGCTCCTGAGGGACAACAGGTTTACTCTGTTCAAATTTCTTTCGGCGAGCTTCTAATTTTTCTTGTTCAACTGATGGTTTACCTTCAACCCTTGTCAAAGATTCATGTTTCTTGTTAGATGGCTCAGTCTGATGGTTCTTCTGGTCTACTGGATGCTTTTCTTTGTCTTCTTCTGCAGCCTTTGCTTTTGCAGATTGGTCTTTCCTTTCCTGGTCTTCACTGGCATTTTCTCCAGGGGTCAAGGAATGCTCTCGTGTTCCATGACTTTGCTTCTCAGGTGTCACTGGCTCCAACCAAGGACTTCCATTTCGACCATGTCTCTCTGGTGACTGATTTCGAGCTGATGCAACCCCCTCTTTGCCAAAACTTTCAGAGCTCTTGGCTTCTCTCTTGTCCCAGGATGAACCTGGTGCCTTCTGACGTCCTGAGGGGCTTCTTGAACGTTGTTTACTTGGTAGATTATCACGCTTGCGTCCAACTTGCCTGCGGTTACGGTCTGAAACTGGACTGGCATGTCTACCTCCTTTGGCTCCACGTCCTTTCCCACGTCCAGACTGACTGCTACTCCTTAAAGGATGTGATCGCCCTGGAGATCGGTTTCTGTAAGGAGATTTCTGTCTGTTCTCTGATCTTCTTGGAGAGTCTAATCTACGCTTTTTGTCATCTGACTCTGCACCAATCCTCTCTCTAACATTTTCAGACTGCTTATCATTCTGATAAGATGGTGAATGATTTCTTCCATGATACTGTGGTTTGTGTTCATCATCCTGACCTCTAGGTTGATCTCTTGCACCTGGTGGAGGACTGCTTCCTGTGGTATTTCTTCTCCCAGATGATGGGCCTGTGCCACCACGATGATAAGGGCCCCGTTCATGTGGATAGGACTGAGATGGACTGGTTCTTCTACCCTGAGCTGGCCCTTTATTGTCCTGTGACCAACCAGTTTGTGCACCTCTAGGAGATTTCACTACCTCTCGAGGTCCTGGCCGTGGAGACATTTTTCTAGAAGATGGCAATGGTGGAGTTCTTGGGCCTCGTCTGTTTTGAGCCATGGGAGGCATTCGTCCTCTTGGTGATAAAGGCCCACTTCTCTCACCTGGGGGATAAGGATAAGGTCTGCCTGAGAAAGGAGATTTGGAACGTGATCTTGGCCTGTGACCTTGCCGACCTGGTGACATTTGCCTCCTGCGTTCATTCAGATCCATTGGGGGTAAGTCATGGCCATACCTTCCGTGATGATCAGGTAAATGTGGTGGTCGGCCAAGATGAGACTGAGGGGAGACTGGTCTTAAGTGGTGTGGCGGAGGTGATCCATGCCCTCGCCCATGTGGCCCCATCATTCCAGCTGCTGGTCGACCGTGTATCATCTCAAGATGTCCCCGGCTTGCAGGAAACTCATGGTCAGGGTGTGATGCAAATGGAAGATGATCTCGCTGTTGGTATTGGTCATTCCAACCACTTTCTGGCAGTAGTCTCTGAGGTGGAAGTTGGTCTCGCCTATCAGAATGTGGCCAAGAGGGACCTGCTTGAGGAGGAGGACCAAGCTCACGATAGTTCATGAAGTGCTGCTGACCATTTAATGGAGGTTGTACTGGTCTTTCCATGGGATAACTACTGTACTGTGGTGAGATTTCTCCTGACCTTTCTGATAAAGGCAATCCCTGTCCAGGGAATCTATCCGGGTAATTCTGTCTATGGTAGGGGCCTCTTGCCGGTCCAGCATCAGGTCCCCCTGGAGGTGGTCTATTCCTTACAGGTGAGGCTAAGTTACTCATCCTATCATGAGGTGATGAACTTCCTGCATTCCTGTGATATGGACTGTGAGGTACTCTATATGAACCTGGGCTTCTTGACCTTCTTCCAGTAAGCCTCCAATCCCCCTTTACTCCAGGACTTGGCGACCTGCTATGAGTTCTCATTAATGGCAAACCTCTCCTGGAGGGGCTTGGAGCTCCTTTATATGGAGGAGATTGAGAAGTGTATTTCCTATTCGGACTCCTGGAATATCTGTGCACTCTGTGTGGACCAGGACTGTGAGTCCTATGGGAAGGAGACATTCTTTGGAGTCTCCTGGGAGAAGGACTTCTCGTGCCTCGATGGGGAGACACATTTTTGCCTCTTCCTAATAAATGAGGACTTCTGGAACCTCTTCTAGGACTCCTAGAAAGAGGACCTTGTGGGTGAATCGGGCTCCGTGAAATCCTACGTTGTGGAGTCCTTGAACCTCTGTGAACTGGACTCCTTGAAAAGCGTCTAGGTGGAGGACTTCGTGACACACGTCTTGGAGGAGTTCTAGAAATTCTACGTGGAAGTGGACTGCGAGATAACCTTCTTGGTGGTGGAGAGTGTGAAAGCCTTCGAGGAAGAGGGCTCCGTGACATACGCTGTTTGTGTGGACTTCGGGATAATCGGCGACTCAAAGAAGTTCTAGAAAAGTGAGGAGGAAGAGGACTTCTAGAGCTTCTACGAGGTGGAGGGCTTCTTGAAATTCGCCGCGGAGGAGGGCTTCTTGAGAGTCTCCTAGGAAGTGGACTCCTTGAAGTTTTGAGAGGAAGAGGACTCCTAGATCCTCTTCTAGGAGGTGGGCTCCTTGTGGCCCTATGACTTAGTGGACTTCTTGACAGTCTTCTTGGCACTGGACTTCTCGAACCTCTTCTAGGCAGTGGACTTCTTCTTGGTAAAGGACTCCTTGAGCTCCTCCTTAGCAATGGACTTCTTGACCCTCTCCTAGGCAAAGGACTCCTCGAACCCCTCCTCGTTAGAGGACTTCTTGAGCCCCTTCTTATTGGACTCCTTGATATTCTATGAGGCCCAGGACTTCTAGATCTCCCTCTCAGCATTGGGCTTCTGGATCTCCCACGCTGCAGTGGACTTTTTGGTATTCTCTGAGGACTTCTTGAAAGATGCCTTGGAAGTGGACTTCTAGAACTTCTCCTGGAAAAGGGACTTCTTAAACGATGAATTGGACTCTTTGAAGTACCAGCATGTGGAGGACTACGTGTCCTGCTCCAGGATGGAGGGCTTCTCGAATGCCTACGTCCAGAAGGGCTCTTGGATCTTAACCTAGGGGACAAGACTCTTGTATCATCTCTGGGTGGGGGACTTCTCATGCTTTTGGACCTTGGTGATGGAGTTCTGCCTTTCTGTTTGTGAAAGGGACTACGGCCCCTGCTGCTTGGGGGGGTCCAGGGTCGATGACTGGGGGGACTTCTGGATCCCCTTCTCTGTAAATGATGCGGTGACATATGGTGAGACGAAGAAGGATACTTATTAGAAGGACTAGCTGAGCCTCTTCTACCTGGGACATTCATCTTCTGCGGGGAAGGAAGATTCCGTGATGAACCAGGTGGTGGTGGTGAGGACTTGCCCGACATAGGTTTGCCTGAAACCTGTCTCTGTCTGCTATTAACTGGAGCTGAAGGACCTCCCTTTCTCTCCCCAGGACCACCTTCACGCTTAATATCTTTGCTTGATTTCCGCTTGTCCACTGAACTAGGCTCACTGTCTGAGTCAGAACCACTTGAACTACCAGTACTACTGCCACTAGAACTACCTGAGCTATCACTACTACTGTCACTGCTGTCAGATTCACTATCCTCACTGTCACTCTCACTATCCGATCCCTGTATCCGCCGCCATCGGGCACTCATCTTTTCCTTGGTCTTCGGCTGTTCAGGTGGTTCATTTTTTGAGTATTTGTCTTGTGGAAGCACCAGTTGTGCCCCACTTGGTTTGACTGGAGGAGGCTGTGAAAAATCCTCATTATGGCCCCTGTATCCCCTTCCCCTGCCTCTGCCACGGCCCCAGCCACGGCCTTTCCCTTGCCCTCTGGGTGGAAAGTACCTCCCACGGTTGAAGTGGCGATCATGTTCCATGCCTTGGTGGAAGTTGTGGAAGTTTCTGTTGTAGTTGTGGGAGCCAACCACTGGAATGGTTGCTATGTTGTTCTGGGCATTCTTCTCAAAATCCTGCAAAATGTGAAAACTCTTAGCTTATTCTTTATGTACCCCATAAATCTCACAAAATAATTAAAAGTAGGAGAGGGAGGGGGAGAGAGAAAGAGAAAGAGAAAGAGAGAAAGGGAGAAAGACAGAGAGGGAGAGAAAGAGAGAGAGAAAGAGAGAGAGA